CCCGGGCAAGGATCTATGGGGCCTTATCCTCTAGTCTCTAATGGGCAACTGCAAAAACCAGGAGTGCAAAGACAGGGAAGACAATACTTCATTCTATCTGGTCTGTCATACTTGCCAGCTTTAATCTTGGTTTTATTTATTTTATTGCAATTTCTTTGATTGTTGTGAGCTGCCCAGCCTTGTTGAGAGTCAGACAGCATACAAGTTTAAGAAATAACAATAATAATAATTATGATTATGATTATTATTATTATTTCAGCCGCTGCTTCTATCATTAGGGCAAGGTTGGTTTCTACTGAGGGCCAATAAAGTGGAAAGGTTCCTTGGTGGTTTTGTTTTAAGCCCATTGGAATACAGTGGGAGTATTAAGGCACTTGGCAAGGAGTGGGAAAGGGCAGTACTAGTAGCAGCAATAGCTTTAATTTTTTAATTGGAATGTTGGCACCTTTCACCAAATCTCTCCATGCGTGCATTGACTTGAAGAGAAGCTACATTCAGGTAAGCTTGCTTAGACTTGCCTGTATAATCACCTTATTCTCTAGAAGGAGACCTGCTTCAGCACCTCCCAAAGACACTCCCAGAGTATGAAGGCACGTGTGTACTCCATGCATATTCGTCAGGGGCACATTTGAAGGGGCTCCTGGGTTTTGGACAAGACAGCCCTCAAATTACCCTTGTTATTTGAAAGAAAAGTGAGGCTGCTATTAACTTGATTCTGGTTTGTTTTTGTCTGAAACAAACTATAGTTAATAAGAGTCTTTTTATCAGATCCAAGATGTATGTAGTTCAGCTTCCTATTCCAGTGGTGGCCATTCAGGTACAAGGGAAGAGTCCTCTCCTGTTGCTTTTTCCCACAGTACTATTAGGTCTCTGATACTCAGATAATATCTAATCATGATGACTTTGGCTACAGATGTCCTTAATAATTGTGGTTTATTGATGTTTGTGGCTGGACATCATATTTGGTGGTATAAAGTATCATCCAATATGCTGAGTGAAGATATACATTTTTGTACATTTGTCCACAATCTCCACTAATTCAGCTTCACCTGATGACCCTAGGTTCGAGTGTTATGGGGAAAGCAGTTTCAGTTTCCTCACGTTTATTCATCATGGGGATTTTATTTCACTGTGAAGTGAAAGCGGACATTCTTCCTCCTTTGCACAGAAAGTAGGGAGGTTAAGGAAGTAGCAGTTTAGGCTCAAGTTCCTTCCTCTTTCTTCCTTTGCTTTTACCAGCAAGAGAAAGAGGGAGAAGGTTCAGATCATCTGAATTGTTCAAAGGTTTCCCTTTTCCCCATTACTTCTCTCAAGCTTACAGCAGAGTAAAAACATCAGAAGGTTAAGGAGGAGGAGTTTTTTCATTTATTAGATTTATATGGCCACCTATCCCACCATAGTGACAATGGGCGGCTAACAATATATAAAAGCAGAGTAAAAAGCATAAAAATTCCAAGAACAGAAGGAGGAAGCAGTAATTTAGGACATGAAAAATGAAAATAGAAATTACTGATATAGTTTCATTTCATTTTATACACCTTGTTTTTGACTTCTACAAACATAACAGTAATACTAAGAACAAAGAGGTGTTAGCAATATATTGATTAGAAAAGAAAACATTATTTTAAACGAACATTACACTAGAAATTTGAACTGAAAGCTTTTTGTAGTCATATTAATAAGATGTCTGTTCCATGGACATAACTGATAATTAGAGTGCTAAGAATTTGTTAACAGCCAGACAAACAAACAAACAAAAAAAAAATTGGTCCTTCTCCAAATAGTCTGGTGAAATGTCCTCAAAATTTCATTTAATTAACAGCTTCAACATTCAGTCTGTTCATGTATTGATATAGCAGGATTATGTCAAAAAAGTAAAATCACACCTGCAAATGAACCTAATCTCTATTACAAAACCCCTAAATGCAAAATAGTTGCACCTTCCAATTGTTTTTTCCTCCTACTGCAACCATATATTATATTTTAAATTCTTTGGAACCTTACTTAAATTGCTTCAAAGGAAAGAACAGCACTTAAGTTTCAAAATTCTTCAAAAACCCACATGGTAATGTAATTCAACCAATGGCTTGATTTTAGACTTTGTCAGGAGTAAGATTTGATTGTACAAATTAGTCACTTCTATAGTGGTTGCGAACCAACAAAAATATAGTCAGCAAAACCCAGAAATAAGTAAATTTATGTCTTTTCTAAACTAATGAATCTATTCCATTTTTTGTTTTGCATAACACATCTATCTACCTACCTACCTACCTATAAAATGAAAAAAAAATCATTTTCCTTTCTGCCTGTGCTCAGAAAAGCATTCTTCAAGGTAGGGTATAATTTTAAAAGATTTATTGAATAAAAAATAGGGTAAAATTTAAAAATCATACAGGGTTAAAAAAAAACACTCAGGCTATTGAAAATAATATAGACTTGGATCCTATTTTTTTTTCCACTGTTCACAAATACTATATATTGTTTAGGAGATGCATCTTTATTTCAGCATCATCCTTAAGAGTCATCAACTCCCAGAAACAGATAATCAAGGGCACAGTAGCATGCAGGTAGAAGGGGGAAACAGAAAAACAAATTTAAAGAAGATGGACTCTATGTGAAAAAAGCTATATCTTCTAAGCCTGTAGCTCTGAGGCAAAATTATTTCATTTTTTTCACAACATGTTGACAATGTCTAAAAAGGCATTCCTTTCCATTCCGTAATTCTGACTGTGTGAAATCATTTATACCATAAAGGGTTTATATCACTTGCCCTTAGTGATATCAAATGGGATTGGCCCAGAACTATGGTATCATAGTTATACTGCATGGTTATCATGTCTGAACAGAACTGAGTTATATGCATAAGAAGCATGGAATCAGGGCACTGCTGCTCTTTCCAATTTCCTTGTATGCGTTGACTCTAAATCTCACGCTGAGCAATGATATCTTCAGGTCTTTTACTTGCATTCCCTTGAAAAGGAATTAAAAACTGTCATGCAACTAAAAACATAGTTTGCTTGTCTGCAGAATTTGTTCAGATTTTTGGTTATTGTGACTTTCTAGGGAAAAAAAAAGACCATGATTCATGGTATCAAAACAAAAATAAATGTCAGTTTATTGTATTCAACTTTTTCTTGGTGCTCCAAGGAGCATGTGTATTTACCTGCATGTAACTATAACGATATGCCCATTATATGTCTAAACTAAGGTAGTGGTACGGTTTTTACTGATTTCTTTATTCACTCCATCCTTCTACCCCACTTCACTAAATTCCAGTTGAAGTTAGAGATTTTAAACCCTTGAATTAGTGCAGTTTACTATACATTTTTTATTCCTTTAGTTCAATAAGCATATACATATTGGTAAACTGGGGAAGGTCTAAGGTACCATATATACATATTAATATGCATGACAAAAACAGTTTTGATTTCATCATTAGATACCATTGCCTTAAGATTTATTTTGAGCAGAATTTGACTGATACATACATATATTGCTGCATATTGATAAAATATTATACAAAAAAAATGACAATGCAATCAAATCCAATTAACTCTTATTACAATAAACACGCACTCAAATCAGTTTATGATTTTGTGATGCTTGTTTTGCAATAAACCTGCCCATTGTTAACATAAAAACAAGGATGATATATAACAAATTATGTACGCGTGACTATTCTGTCCAATGTTTGGAAACAAAAATCAAACCAATGGAAATTTCTTAGGAAAATTTCCTAAGCATCCCTTCTGGCAACTTTATCCATCTGTAAGGACAAATACGTCTTAGGATGCTTTATGACTTGATCCTGGGAAATTCTGTTCTCTAAATTTAGCTTTTAATTGCTTTAACTGCAGGACTTTGGACTACGGCTTGAGAGAAATTGTATCAGGGCCTGATGTACTGAGGAATAAATAATATCTATGAATCTAAAGTAAAATGGTTGGAAAAAACTTAGAGAAAAAGCACCACTTTGTTTACGATCCAACCCTGAATGGTTAAAAGTATTTCAACCATTCAAGTCCACAAATTTATACGCATTAAACTTCATGCTGAGTAGTGCTGCCACTTGTTGTCCTTATAATTTTGGTCTTTCGACAGATTTGAAGGCAGCTTTCAATCATTATAGGATTAGGGTTTGGCACTTCTGTGATAAGCAGGAAGCATCAATACACATTTGGAGTGTGAATTAGGCACATATTAAAACCACTCTTCTGAAATCATCTACACTACTTCATTCAAACACAGAAATAAAAAGGTTTCTTTGCAAACATATCTAAATAATATAATCATCTACATATTAATAAAACATGGTAAAAACTGTAACATGAGCAACTATCACAAATTTCATCAATTATATTAGTCTACAACTTTTCAGTACTCATTTGGATTAAATCTAAGTGACAATCACTGGTGTGCTCTAGATACTTTCCTTTAAAGGTAACCTTATCACTGAACTTTCTGTGCTGAAAAGGCTGTGTTTTTATTTTACTTATGAACCATATTAAATGACAATAGTCATGTTGATTGAAAAAAAAAAGTCAATAAAGTCACACTTTAATTTGCTATATAAGTTCCTTAGAAGTGCGCAGAAGTAACAGAAGATGAGCTGTAAAAATGTCTTCAGTGAAAGGATATTTTATGGTGCTAATATCCAGGTATTGCCAGTATGATTAATAAGCCTAATCAGAAATAAGTTTGATCAAAAAGTTAGGAAAGGACAAAGTTGCACTTCCTTGCTTGCTCCTTTTGTAAGATTTCAATTTGTGGGAGAGAAAGTGAATGATTAGGATGTTAGAATAAAATGAGGCTGCAATTAGGTGCACAAAAAGGGGGTGGGCCGGAATCCATGGGCAAAAGGACTTCTGGTCTATAATCTCAGTTTCCAGCCATTACGACTAGGTCATTAAGGGAGTCAAATCAGGTAACTTGCTTATTAGATGCCTTCAGTTTAGTCCATCACTAGCACATATTCACATACACACTTAAGCACACATTACCTTCTGTGTCTTGCATATTTGCCACTAACATGACCACTGCCATCACAGCCAGGAGTAGGGCAGCTATAAAAAAAATGAATTAATTATAAAGGTTTCTATGTGCTGCATAGAGATTATATTAAATGCAGGCAGTAGGTGTTACAGAGATGGAGGGCAACAAAGAGAGAAAAAGAGAAATCAAATAACTGAAGGGAAAAGGGAGGAGGGAATGCTTTTTATTAGCAAATCCCAGGGGAATTAATTTCATCAGTGCAGCAGGGCATGAGCAAGCCACCAATGAACTTGAAAGTGCATTATACCCATTAAAAGGCATGAATTTTCTAAATTGCTAATGGTGCAGCAGGGCATGAGCAAGCCACCAATGAACTTGAAAGTGCATTATACCCATTAAAAGGCATGAATTTTCTAAATTGCTAATGGCTTTTTATTAGCAAATCCCAGGGGAATTAATTTCATCAGTGCAGCAGGGCATGAGCAAGCCACCAATGAACTTGAAAGTGCATTATACCCATTAAAAGGCATGAATTTTCTAAATTGCTAATGGGGATACATTTTACACTCAGCGCACTAACCTGAACAGCTCTTGTATGGCTGGTTCCACGGGAACTGCAGAGAGATGGAAAATATATAAAAATTTATCATCTATTACAAGTACTCCCCCTTCTGCTGAAAATTGCCCAAAAAGGCTGTAAAAAAGCAAGGGTCACAATGCATCATGCAAAGAGATTCTAGAGGATGAAGGTCACCCTGAGCAGGGGCCTTGAGTGATTTACTGAAGCAAGAGACATACCTCGAACACCTTTGGACCGTGTGCGATGGCGCTTCTCGTCTGCCTCCACCTCCATCTGGGAATAGATTAGCAGGCAGTCAATGCTCTTATCCTGCATGCACAGACTATCAATGCACAGACAGATACAGTCTCTCATACACAATTTATTGACAATATTTTAATTCCATTTTATCCTGCAAGTGAACAGACTGCATGGAAGGGAATTTTTTTTAAAGGCTCCCTATATTTGTTTAAAAACAAAAACCCACACAATAATTTTTTATTTTAACTATGTGTGCTCTCTTTCAAAAATGTTTTATGTATTTTTTTGAAAAAGGACATTAGGATTCTTTAACGGCAACCCAATACCGGTGGAATATAACTGATTTTTTGCAACATGAAACTGAGGTCAGGTACTCTAGCATACTGTACTGGGAGACTTTCAAAAGATATTTTTTTTAGGCAAAAGAAGAAGGGAGAAACATAATAGGATATTAAGTTTGATATATATCGTCTGGGTTTTTACTGTAGAAAAAAGAATGGATCTATCCCACTATGTAAATATCTAAATAAATTATTCTTATGTATCTACGCATTGCAAGTAATTTAAAAATAACATGCTTTTCCATTTAGAATTTAGAGAAAATCTAAAGGTTTTTCTCCTTCTGTTTAGAAATCCCACTCATCACAAATATCAGTACTATATTTTTATCAGTGTAAAACTGTATGACCAGGTTACTGGAATAAACCACAAAGCAGATTAGAGATTAATGTACATAGATGAT